TGAGTGACACATCCTGTGAGCCACCTGCCCCTGACACCTGGTATAAGGGCCGCAAGGCAGGGCTACTGCTACCGGGTGCAGGAGCCACTCTGTACCGAGAAGAGGGCCCCCCAGCCACTGCCACAGCCTTCCTGGGGGGCTGTGGTCTGAGCCCTGCACCCACTGGGGACTATGGTTTCCCAGCAGATGGCAAGCCATGCGTAGCAGGTGCACTGACGGCCATTGTAGCTGGTGAGGAAGAGCTCCGTGGCAGTTATAACTGGGACTACCTGCTGAGCTGGTGCCCTCAGTTCCAGCCACTGGCCAGTGTCTTCACAGAGATCGCCCGGCTCAAGGATGAAGCTCGGCCATGTCCCCCAGCTCCTCGTATTGACCCACCACCCCTCATCACTGCCGTGGCCCACCCAGGAGCCAAGTCTGTGCCCCCTAAGCCAGCCAACACGGCTGCAACCCGGGCCATCTTCCCACCGACCTCTCACCGCTCCCCCATCAGCCATGAAGGCTCCTTGTCCTCAGCTGCCATGTCCCCCAGCTTCTCACCCTCACTGTCTCCTCTGGCTGCTCGCTCACCCGTTGTCTCGCCATTTGGGGTGGCCCAGGGCCCCTCAGCCTCAGCACTCAGCGCAGAGTCCAGCCTGGAGCCACCGGATGACACGGAGCTGCACATCTAGCTGTGGTCCAGGCTGGGCCCCGACCTGGGACACGTACAGTGTCCCCAATGCAGGCCTTATCTGAGCCTGCCCTGGGCAGCCTCGGACCATAGTTGGCCACAGGGGAGACCAGCTCCCTATCCCAAACTCCTCCAGTGGGGGCAGGTCCTACATCTCACCCCAGCCCTGTCAGAGTACCAGCACTACAGAGGCCCTGTGGGGCACTGACCTGTGGCCGGGTCCAATGTGGGGAGAAGTATGAAGGAGGCAGGAGCCCTGGGTTCTCTTCAGTGAGGGCTTCCTGCCCTGCACCAGCATCCTGAGATGGAGCTGAGACTTTATTTATTGGGGGGGTAGGAGGGATGGGGAAAGTCCTCAAACCTATTTGGGCCCAGCTCCTTTGGGTTCCATTGACACCCCTGCCCCTGCCCAGAACCAAGTGCCAATTCTCACTCTGGAGCCTTAATAAACTGCAGTTTGTATCCAGCGTCTGGCTTTGTTCTGTGGGGACCAGAGGGATGGCAGGGTAGGAATGGCACAGGGAGCCATCTCACTGCAATCGACCTTTCCCTCTAACACAGGCAGGAGGCCAGGAAGAAGGCAGACAGTGACCAAGGGAGAGATTGGTTGGGTGGGGAGCGATCTTAGGGATGACCAGCTCTAGGCCTGAGGGTCTTCAAGGAGGTAGGGGTGGATACAGGAGTAGCTAAGTCGTTTATTGTGTTTTTCTTGGAGCCACCATATATTCACATATAATAGAAATTCACATTTGTTGAGACATTGCCATCAGGTTGTCTGCTGAGCAATTTGCTTGCTGTATCTGTAAATATTCACTACAACCCTATGAGACAGACTACTTTTAATATAACATTGTATTCTAAATGAAGAAAACTGGGCTCTGGGAGCCTAGGCGACTTTCCTGATATCATATAGCTAGGAAGAACCTGGGTTAGTGGGTCTGTGGGCCGCCGGGGCACCTTTCTTAAGCCCTCCTAAACGCTGTGTTAAGTCCTGGCTGGACAACCCCAGCAAGGGGGTGAAGCACAGGGCTTAACCCAGTGCTTTAAGGAGCCAGAGGGAGAATCCGAGGGGCAGCTCCACCCATTCCCCAGCACCCAGGACCGCCCACTTGAGGGAGGAGCCAGCACGGTCTAGTTTCTGGGCAGAAGGCTGGTAGCGGTAGACTATAGGGCTCATGTGATTCATCACATGACAGCGGATCATCGGAAAGGCGGAATGGGACTCACAGCCTGGTGAGAAATTAGGAGGCCCTGGAAGAAGGGGATCACTTTGGAGGGAGTATATATTGGAGGGTGGGTACACAATGACAATCCAGCTCCTCCTAAAACCCACCTGCCGTCTCTGCAGCCTCCTAGGGCTCCTAGCCCTCATCGTCGCAGGCAAATGCAGTTACAGCCCCGAGCCTGACCAGCAGCGGACGTGAGTTGATTTAACACTGACTGCCTCCTTTCCCATGCTCTGTCCTGCACCCATTGTCCTGCTCCTAGCCTCCTTCACCCCCTTACCAGCTCCTGGTACCCCTTCCATAGTCTCATTCCCAGATTCCCAGGCTGTGAGCCATTTCTGCTTCTGGGATCCTACTCAAGGTCATTGCACCTAATCCTGAACCTTCCATGACTACTATTTCCCATCGCCACCCTAACAAAGACCGTGTTCCTGACCCCTGACCCTGCAGGCTGCCCCCAGGCTGGGCGTCTTTGGGCCGAGCAGACCCTGAGGAAGAGCTGATTCTCACCTTTGCCCTGAGACAGCAGAACCTGGAAAGACTGTCCAAGTTGGTGCAGGCTGTATCGGATCCCCGCTCTCCTCGCTACGGTGCTTGTCGGGACTGGGTGGGGGATGTGGGATGCAGTGGTGGGACACAGGGCTGGGCTGAGCCTGGAACAGTGCTTATCACGTCAGGGTCGTGCTCTCAGTGCCTGTCAAAGGGGTGATATAGAGCAGATGAATGACAGTGGCTCTCACTGAAGCATTTTTGAATAAAAAAGTGAACTGGAGCTAAACTGTCCCAAACTAACTCATATATTTCCTCCAAAACTTTTCACCTGGGTTCGTCAGGCTAGAAACCTAAAAGTGGATGTAGTTAAGAGCACAAGCTTTATGAATCAGATCTGGATTCAGCTATCAGACAAATAGGGATGTAGCATCTAGTACAGATGCTTCTCTGTTTACAGGGGGGTTACATCCCGATAAACCTATCATAAGTTGAAAATATTAAGTCAAAAATGGATTTAATTTTTGACTTAAAGGTTGGGGACTGCTGCTCTGGAGTACCAGTTGTTTATACTTTCACGACTGTGTGCCTGACTGAGAGCTGTGGCGCACTGCCACCACCCAGCATCAGGAGAGAGAATTGTACCACACATGCTAGCCCAGGAAATGATAAAAATTCAGAATTTGAGGAATGGTTTCTATGGAATGCATATTGGTCTTGCACCATTGTAAAGTCAACAAATTGTTAATCATAATTCAGGGACCATCTGTACACCTAGATGCTCATTGGCTCAAATTCCTCCCCCACCCTCAAGTCCACTCTCATTTCCTTCTCCATTCAAACACTGAAACTGTCAGTTCCAACTCTGAAATAACTTTCGGAGTAGTCCACGTCTCACCACTTCTCCCTTGTTGCTACCAACCCAGTTGTTTATTCTCTCACCTGGCTACTGCCCAGACCCTTGTCTCTTCCCCTCTACCCGACTCCCCACTCTCCTCCCTACTCTGCTCCAAAACAGTCAATGTTTTGCTTCAGTGGTCAAGCTGGATTGTGTCCTTCTCCTGCTTGAAACTCTCGCAGGGAGCACTCTCAGATGAACCTAGGAGACGAGTACTAGTATTTGTGGCTCCAAACAGGAAAACATCATGGTGGGGAGAAGAGTGGTGTATGTGCAGGGAGCACTCTCAGATGAACCTAGGAGGCGAGTACTAGTATTTGTGGCTCCAAACAGGAAAACAGTGATTTGCCATCATATTAAACTTAAAATTAACAAGTATGAAAATTTGAGCTAAATTAGATGTCATCTCATAATTGGCTCCAAACATTTTGAAAACTTTCATTGGAGATAAAATGGACAGTTTTAATTATGAGCCTCATCTGTTTTTCACGATCATGGCAGTGCATGCTGTGGTGCAGCATTTGTAACCTAATAGCCTTTAGGATAAATCCATATTCCTGGCTCTGGCATTCCTAGTCTCTCCGGCCTTTTCTCCTCTGGGCCCCCCAATATAAGCTGCACCAGCCTACCTTTTTCTGCAACAGCCTAACTTTTTGCTAGAAAGTTCCTACTCATCCCTCAAGACCCTGCGCCAGGCTTCCTGGGAAATTCCACTGTCTCTTGGTTGAAGTCAAAAAAAGGCAACTTGGAAAAGCAATGAATGAAGGCAGGAACCTCTATGAATCCCTACAGGAAAATACCTGACCCTGGAGGATGTGGCTGAACTGGTCCGGCCATCACCACTCACCCTCCGCACGGTCCAAAAATGGCTCTTGGCGGCTGGAGCCTGGAACTGCCACTCAGTGACCACACAGGATTTTCTGACCTGCTGGATGAGTGTCCGGTAAGAGGGAATGATTGCCCCATGGAGGGGACCAATCATGCCATCAGTCACCCCAATTGGAGGGAGCTCAGAGCTTGCTGGGGGCTGTAGCTGAGAGCTAACGCATGGGGAGATGACAGCTAACTGCCCAGTGATGCTCAGGCAGCCTCCTCTGCTCCATTCCATGCTTTCTGACCTCTGTTCTCTGATCTCTGACCTCCAGACAGGCAGAACTGCTGCTCTCTGGGGCTGAGTTTCATCGCTATGTGGGGGGACCTACAAAGACCCATGTTGTAAGGTCTCCACGTCCCTACCAGCTCCCGAAGGCCTTGGCCCCCCATGTGGACTTTGGTAACATCCAGTGGGGTTGGTGGGATTGGGGCAGGGAGAGCCAGGGGCTGGAGAAGTTTAGATGCCATGGAGAGGTTCAGGAAGTAGGGTCTCAGTAAAGTGGGAATTGAAGTCGAAAAGATACCCTCAAACCTGATTTTCCCCACAGTGGGGGGGCTGCACCGCTTTCCCCCCACATCATCCTTGAGACAACGCCCTGAGCCACAGGTGGCAGGGGCTATTGGCCTGCACCTGGGAGTGACCCCATCCGTGATCCGTGAGCGATACAACCTGACAGCACAAGATGTGGGCTCTGGCACAACCAACAACAGCCAAGCCTGTGCCCAGGTGAGCCAAGCAGGAGCCCCAGGGTCCTCACAGCCTCCTCAGGGAGCCTGACCAGCTTGCGGCCTGCTCTTATTCACTGTCCTGTGATCTGGGACAGTATCTCCTGTCCTGACCCCTGGGGCTCCATCCTCTGATCCATGATATGTGCTCTGATTCCCTCTCTAGTTCCTGGAGCAGTATTTCCATGACTCGGACCTGGCTGAGTTCATGCGCCTCTTTGGTGGGAACTTTGCACACCAGGAATCAGTAGCCCGTGTGGTCGGACAACAGGGCCAAGGCTGGGCTGGGATTGAGGCCAGTCTAGATGTGCAGTACCTGATGAGTGCTGGTGCCAACATCTCCACCTGGGTCTACAGTAGCCCTGGTACTGCCAAGGGGACTGATTGGTGGGGAGAGGGGTAGGGATGAGTGTTGATCTCTGTTTTCCTAAGGGAATTCAGTGAGCTAGAGGGAGGTTCTAACAATCCCCCAAATGACTGCCTTTTGTGCCCCGCTCCCCACAAAAAAACCCAGGCCGTCATGAATCACAGGAGCCCTTCCTGCAGTGGCTCCTGCTGCTCAGTAATGAGTCAGCGCTGCCACCTGTGCACACTGTGAGCTACGGAGATGATGAGGACTCTCTTAGCAGCACCTACATCCAGCGGGTCAACACCGAGTTCATGAAGGCTGCTGCTCGGGGTCTTACCCTGCTCTTTGCTTCAGGTGACCTCCTACTGTGAACCTAGACCCTCCACCCATCCACCCAATCTGGAAGCTTTTACCCCATACTGACCCCTGAACCTGATCTCTGACTCATAATCTGAACTTGACTGAAACCACTGACATGACCTCTAAACTCTGACCACTTGCAGTAATGACTAACACTTGCATTTCCTCTCTTACATCCGAGCCTACATACCAGGCTCTAACCAATTAATCTGAGAGCTAAACTTGGTCTCTATCCCAGGTGACAGTGGGGCTGGGTGTTGGTCTACCTCTGGAAGATACCAGTTCCGTCCCAGCTTCCCTGCCTCCAGGTAAACATCCCACCCCACCACTTATCTGTGACCACCAACCTTTCATCTGTGGCCTCACGATCTGGAACCTTTTCCTTGACCCCCACCAGGCGCTCCCATGGCTCAGCCTTAGCTTTGTCTGCCCTGGTTGCTGCATTCCCGTCTTCTTCCTCTGGGTCCCAGGCCCCAAGTCTCCTGAGTAGGACACAGTTCCCAGTGTTGCTCTTCCTCAGTCTCCAGGCATTTTAGTGGAAGATTTTG